TTGGCTTCCTTATGGTTAATTAAAGCTGACTTGATGTAATATAATATAATTTGATTGTTGATAATGATTACAAGAGAAATTGATTTAATTATAAGTTGATTTTAATTTGTCAAGCCCGGGCAGAGTCACCAATATGTAGAACTTATAACCCAACAAGGGTTATACAGAGCTGGAAGAGGATAATCCACTAATAAAATGACTAGTAGAAGTTGTCTAAGGACTGCTCTTCTAAAACAACACAATCAGAAAGAGCTCTGTTGTATTGAGTACTGATAAGGCACCAGAGAAATATATCTTCACACGTAATTTAACTTCAAAAGCACACTTTGTATTACTATCAACACTGCTATAGTGTTATTCCCAATTGATAACTAAAAGAAATAAGCAATATCTGATTTGATATTATTCCCAATAAGTCTTTATGACTATAAAACTAAAGTAAATTTCTCTTTATAATTGTAATAAAGGGCGTATTTAAGTGACCAGGTACTATTAAAATAAGTTTATAATGATAAACAAAATAATAATGGCGTAAATGATAAAGAAAAAAAGGGGAACAACAGTCCCAAAACCCTCTCAAAGTATATATAACAATGTACTAGAACTTTTACAATGGTCAACAGCCTCAAAACCAATCAAATCCGCCCAAAATTCCCTAAAAACCCTATGATGACGCAATGTAATGATTTTGTTACTAATAAATGATGTAATTTTCACAGCTAAAAGTGATCAATGACGCAATAATATGATGTACAGCACTTCTTATGATGAATACAGGTGATTTTTTCCTTGTAAACTAGCTGAAAACCAATTTTTGAGATTACGAATTTTTTCAGATGTGCTCCAATTTTTGATTACTAAAGTGCATCTTGTAGCCCACGTGTTACTGATCATTTCTGACACCTACATGACCTACTTCTGATGAGTGATGAGTAAGATATTGAGTTGTGAAGTTAAAGTTTTTAGTGTTACATGTGACTTGTGACTGTAAATTCGAGATTCACACCAATTCTTTATTTGCCTTATAACTTTTTACACACACCTCCATTACTAATGCTTTAAAGTTTGTACATTATGTAATCCACTCTTCTGCGTTGAATGAGCCATCTACCAACCTATTCTGACGTCATTTGACATATGTAATTAGCTGAAAACCTCCATTTTCCACGAATTTCACCCATTTTCTTCACTTTTCACAGCTACTACTCTCTTTTTCTTGCTTTTGTAATATGACATCATCATCTATAACCTTAAAAATCCCGAAAAATCCTCTTGGCAACTTTAAATTCCATCACTACCACTATTACACAACCAAACTACACGTGTACCTCTTGTTTACCAACTTCGAAAAAGTGCCTTTTCCCTAATAACTTCTATTTCTACTTATCAACCTTGAAGATTAAAATTGTCATAGTATAATATAATGTTGTTCTTTCATATTCTAACCTCATAATACCCATAACTTTATTTCTACTAACCTAAAAACCATTTTCCAACCTTTGTACCTATAATTTCGAATTTTTCTTATGTTTTTCTTTCTTTCTTTTTGTAATAAATTTGTAAGTAAACTATAATGATCTTAATATATAATGTGAAATAAAAAATGATGTAATGTTGACCTAATGACCAATACATAAGCCTACAAGAGCTTCAATTGATCAAAAACCTCCATTTCGAATTTTCTTTCCTGCTGAATCCTGCTAATAAACTGGTAAACTGGTAATTGTGAATTTTTTAATTGATCCCATAAATTGATCACCACAGCGACTGTATAACGAAAGATTACTCTGCCGGCACCGGGGGTCAGGCGTTGGACAATGTGCCTGCAGCTAACGTGCCATCCACGGTTTCCCCGGAGGCACACCCAGCTCGCGAGGATCCCACAGAGGACACCCCCACAGTCGATGTGTCGCAAACATCGGGAACCAAATCCTCACCGCCTTCGCCTCGCAAAAACCCGGCTCCGCTCCTGATCAACCCACCAGGCGGCATCCCTGCTGGTGGTGTTCCAGTTCCTGTCAACCTCGACGTTCGAACTGTCGCGCCCAAGCAGAAGCCCAGCATTTGGGCTGTCAGCGACTCAACCATCTTCGAGGTCACGCCGAAGACGGTCAAATCAAAGACCCTGAACAACACGGATGTGCCAGATGTTTATCGCGCCGCCCTCAGCCTTCTGTGGTTGAGGTCTCAAGGCACCGATCATGCGGCGTTGGATGTCTCACCCTTACCTACACCACACTTCAAAATCCTACCGAAAAGCAAACTACGTGTCCACACGTGGCTGAATAAACCTCCAAGTAAGTCTTTGTTGCAATGTTTGTAAGTCACCACAACGCTGACTGGCCCTTCATCACTAGACATGCGCCTGTTCCAATGTGACTCTGAGGCGCCGTGGTATCGACCGGACGTGTTCAACCTTCATGATGCTGAGGTTACAAAGCGGCCCTCCCCCAACGAGAAAGCTCACACGCAGTTTGTCCGAGAGATTCTTGCGGTATTCTCACACAGCTCGACCACCAAGATTGATCAGGGTGTTAAATATGTCTTGGCCGCCATTGCATGCTGCAATATGGAAAATGTCGAAATATCACCTCCCGCACCCTCTACTCTCGCTACGTGTGCTAATGTCAAGATAGAGAATGGCCTGAGGGCTGCTCATCACTACCATCAGCTTCAACTCTGCACGAGCAACTCAGTGGTGCGTGAGTGTGTGATGGCCATATGTGATTTGGTCAATAAGATTTATGGCATGCTAGAGGCTATCGCTACCCTTCGAGCCCTATTCCGCCACACCGAATTCATCTTCCAACAACCTGAACAGCAGCATGACAAGCTCGAACAGGATTATGCCAGCCTCACCAAATCAGTTGGTGTGGGTCAGGTTCCACCGGTACAATTTGGACTTCTGGTAGCCTTCCTCACATCAGGCGTGAAGGGCCTCTTAATTTTTCCCCGCGACCCTACCAGATTTGGGCTTTGCAAACTTGCCCCCTTCTTAGTTCTAGTGAGCCAGTTGCAAGCCGAACGACCAATCGAAGAACCATTCTGGAAACACACCCAACATTTTCTGCTCGAGATCATACGTGAGGCCCTTTTTCCACAAGGTTTTTATACTGCAAATGCCACACTGGATGACCCATCAAGTCAGGACGAATGGCATCCCAAAGAGTGCTCAAAGCTTGACCTTGCTCGTGCTATCCAACGAGATTTGGCTGCCTTTTGTGAGTTAAGGCCTCAACTGACGGGGGCTCCCTACCCCGATAACCCTTATGACCTACCTTTCCACCCAGTTACCACCCGGAACCAAGCCAGTATTACCCCACAAGGCGCTGAATAGTTTTTAAGATTTATGAACTTTTTTGTAATACCAAATATCTGTAGGTTTCTAAGCCAGAAATTGATTCTTCAATACCCAAAAGTGTAACTTACAAATAGTGTTGCAACCCAATTTAGGCCTTGAATAGTGTTTACGATTTTTCAATTTTCTACCTTTCAATACAAAATTCTGTAACTAGTTCTGTAGCTTTGTAAGCTGGAATTTATCCCTTCAATACCTAAAAGTGTAACTGAAAAATAGACCTGCAGCCCAGGTGTTCCCCAATGTAAGAAAGATTCCAACTGGCAACTTGACTATGAGAGTGCCTACACAGCAGCATCCTTGATCTGCTAAGAACCAGACTTTGGTTTGTGAACATAGCATTGTTATACAGCCTAAAACCAAACTCAGTACCTTAGGGTTGGGAACATAGGCTTGAAGATCCACAGCCCTAACCCTAACTTTATATACATTTTGATGACTTGAGAGCCCAAGTCATCATGTATAAATATCCTTTGCCTCACCTGAATCCCACTTCCACCATAACATTTGTGCTACAACCATATCCACACTACCCAACCATCCCATCACATAGTTCCCACAATATGCCTACAACTCTTGGATCCAATGCTACTACCCTTGGACCGCAGCATATCCTGTGCTCATGTCTGCAGCTAGGGTGTTCACAAAAGAGGATTGAGTACATGGGCAAAGTCTATGAAGGCAGATTGTTCAGTCGAACCAGATATCCAAAGCACCTTGCAGAAATCAATAGCTTATCGGAAACCACCACACCTCTGCCTGCCAACCATCCAGCCCCACAAAGGGAACCACCTGGTTTTGCTCAGTCCTCCATTTTGCCAGTATGATTGCCCACTGATTCTCCATTTGTACTTTGAATGCTCCTGACATCACCGCTGCCATTTGCAGGGTCCGGCTCCAGTTGTCCAGGTTGCTTCAACCAGTCGTGCAGTATTGCAGCCTGCGCTCCCACCAATTGGAGCTGCCACAGCTATGCGCAGCAACAAACGGGCCAGAGATACTGAAGATGACGAAAGCATGTCAGGCCCTCGCCAGCCAAAAGCTCCCCGACAAGATCATGGTCACATGCAAATCACAACTTCCACCCCACGTCGATTCTTGCAGGATCCGCTATGCATGCGTGAAATGTTCAAAGTCGCCAAAGAACACCTGTTCCATAACGTCGGGGTCAAAGCTTGTAACAAAAGCCTTGCCAAAGCTAGAGAGAGTGTCAAGGAACAAAAGCTCACACAAGATCCAACAACCAGCAACGAATTTTGGAAAGAAATTCCTCTAGGCCTTCCAACCCTTCTGAAGACACTCAAACTGGAACCATCTGTACAATCAAAAACATGTTGCCCATTCTGCTGTGCTTTGTCTTCCATTCAAGAACCTTTACCCCTCAATGCATCACCAGTTCCACTCTGTGATGTCCCACGATTTACTACAAAAGCGTCAACTACTCTACCCCGCGAACCTTGTCAATCTCCTCTCTACGAGAAACCATCAGGAACTGTTCAGAAACCCATGCGCCTCTTCTTTTATCAGTCGCTACGTTCTTGGCTTGGCAAGATGCTTCAGTATCACTACTTTGAAGAAGGCAGTGACGCACACCTCAATCGTCAGCAACCTGCCAATGATAGAATGGATGATATATGGGATGGTACATTGTGGAAAACCTTCCAGAAAGACAGGTACATCTTCACATCAAAATCTGGTCACCTTGTATTTGGATTATGGTGTGATTGGTTCAATCCTGGTGGCAAGAATGCAGCAACGAAGACTTCAGTTGGTGTCATGCTCCTCACATGTTTCAACCTACCTCCAACAATACGATACAAAAAAGAGAACATCTGCATTTATGGTATCATGCCAGGTCCATCGGAACCATCACTGTCGGAAATGAATCATTTTCTCAAACCACTAGTCACTGAAATGTCGGATTTCTGGGACAGCATCACCTTTACATCAACATCCAAGTATCCCAAAGGACGCATCCTTCGTGCCGCACTATGGCCTATTCACGGGGACGTTCCAGCAATGAAGAAGGTCACTGGAGGAACTTCACACTCGTCAACATGTTTTTGCTCTCTCTGTCTGATTGATCGTAATCTCTATCACTCTCAATCTCCAGCACCAAAGGCCGAGCTCCGAACTTCTGAGGGTGTCAAGGTGCAAGCCGTGGAATGGGAACAATCTCAAACTGCAAGTGAGCAAGCTAAACTGGCAAAGACCACAGGCGTACGATATAGTATCCTTCATGAGCTGCCATACTGGCAAGCTGTTGAATTTTTTTCTGTTGACATCATGCACAACATCTTCCTTGGTCTATACAAAGATTTTTCAACCCAATACATCCAAGTACCAGCAGCTGGCAAGGCTCTTGAAGCTGAACGAGAAAAAATGGAATTCAGTAATCGGCAATATGATGTGCAGCTCCCTCGACCGGCATCACCTAGTCCACCTGGATCTGATGATGCAGCTTCCACAAGCGGTATGCCTCCTCCTCAGCCACCCTCCCGCCATTCTTATGATACTCGATCAGCTGTATCCTCTAATCTCCATCGGGATATGGCATCTTCAGCTGGATCAGACCATACAATTAGAGGTAAAAAGAAGAATCACAATGGATCGGACCACTCTCGATCACCCACACCCCCACCTCCAGCCATCATTCCCGAGATCACTTCTTATGAACTTGATTTACTTCAACGCTGTATCAAGCATGCCAAAGGCCCTTCGTGGCTCACTCGACCTCAGAAGAACTTTGGAATGGCTAGTGCAGGCACTCCCAAAGCTGCTGAATGGCATTCATTATACAAAGTCTTTATTGTACTAGCTTGGATACCTCATTTCAAAGGTGGAGACCCTGCATCAACATCAGCTAAAATCCTAGCTAGCCTCCTTCAGCTTATTCAGATTGGCAACATTTGCACACAGCGGTCCTTTCAGCATGGTGATGGAGAAATTATTACAACCTTGGTTGAGGAACATCAAGCTACCCTAGGGGATGGATGGCCGCATAAGAAAAAAAGCCCAACTTACATTTTGCCGAACATATTGGCCAAATCTCCACACTTCTTGGGCCTCCAGCTTACACAGCCAGCTGGTCAGGTGAGCGGATCATTGGAGCCCTTGTGCAGACCTCAAAGAACGGAAATCAAAGTGTGTTTGTTCCTAATTTGTACAAG